TATTGCACAACACTTTCAGACAGTATTGTCGCTTACCTATCTTCCGGCGTGCGCGCCAGATATTCACGTTCAATTAAACCTTCTATACGCTTTTTAATAATTACGGGCGAAGGCAGGAATCGTCCTCTGAGTTGCTCTGTTACTTCTGTTACGAGTATATTGTGCTGGAAGAAAACGGAAATACATCTTATTAATATATACGATAATAAAAAAAGCAAAGATAGAAATAATTATATGAGATTAAATAGAAAAATTAGACATAACAAATTAAATGCTACTGTTACGTACAGGCATGCGTTTTCGGTCTTTCATGATGCGAACGATAGCCGCTTCTATCTCGTGCTTCCTGTCCTCGTCAACTTTGTTACGCGTCTCCCTTCTTTCTGGCTCTGATTCGCCTTTCGCCGCCACCGTTTGTATCTTTACTCTTTAGAAAATTACACATGAATAAGGATATTATTATTCGAATAGTTTCAGTCGCGTTTCGCTACGAAGAAGAGTCATTTAGTTCTGATGAGTACGATTTCAATGCCCGCAACATACCTGTGCAGTTTACTGGTGAAACTGTCATTGACACAAAAACAATGTGAAGGTTCTATCTCCTTTGTCCGAGGATGTTTTAATAATACTCTTTGCGTGGCTTTACCCATAGCCAGAGACTGCAATGCTCTAACCAAGTCCCTTTCTGGAATATCGGTTTCACCTTGAATTTCCTACGCAACGTTTCATAGATTGTATTGTGATATATATAAAGGATTACCGATGAATGTAAGGCACGGATTAAATCAGACCGGCGATTCTCAACTGACCTCGTATGTTAATTTGTCTCTTTTGTTGAAAAGCATCAGGACGCACATCTGATAAGTCGATACTTGAATTATATGTTTCCTCGTGTTTCCACAGCTACTGCTTCGCTGACTTAATAAACTACCGTTAGCGCTCCCGTTGCCAATCGAACTGGAGGACGATGGCGTGTCTAATGCCGTGCAACTACTTTCTTCCCTTCGTGGTCCGTGAAATATGGCATTCAAATCCGCAGAACCTGAGGACAGAAAAGTGACATACGATAACAATTAAATAAACCGACTATTCGAAACCTAACCCTCTGTAGGCCCATGTAACTTTGAAGTCAGTATATTGGCATCTTGTTGATTTATCTCATTTTGCACTCAAAGCGGTGAATAAAATAATCAGTTAACTTCAACTTTTGTACGCTCAGGCGTGAAAGTCTAAGGTTATTGTAACTTGAAAGTCACAAAATATACTCGTTTGAAGAAATTATTGAAACTATTGAATACATTGTTAATTGGTATTCATATGTGGATATTCATTAATTTTGTACTGCATAGATTTCGTTATAATCACAAAAAAATTCGGCCCACAGAGGGTTAAGGAAACAAGTAGAAAACGATTTGACGAACCTAATTGTGGCTGTAACGTCAACTGGCGACCGCTGTGTTTAGCGAGATAGAACCGACGGAAAGCGTCGAAAGCGTCTCGCGGGGCGGATGGCATACTACACTTTGGCGTTGCCGATTGCGTTGGCCAAAAACCGGTTGTTAGAACCCTGACACTTATATCCACGCCATGCAAGTTTGTCTGTACCATGAAAAGTATTAGTCTACTAGACTGTCCCTAGCTATTGTGGAATACGTCAAGTAAAAAAACCTTACATTAGATGTGAGGACATGATCCTTAAATTCATCCATAATAGTATTACTGACTGTTATATCTTTGAACATCCCTTCCAACTTCGACGTGAACTGACATCCACATTCAGTCTACGGTAAATCATTCATTTGTTTGGTAATAGTTAGTTAACCCTTGATAGAATTAAACGACTAATGAAAAATAAGGTAAGTACCTTAAGTTTAGATATCATATTCTTCTCGCTGTCATCAGAGACAGACTTGTTTAAGAGAAGACGTTTAGCTAAGTGTTGCTTATAGTACCGTTCGAATACATCTTTCTCTTGGAGGAACCGAAAGAGAACCATGGTTTTGTCTAGAATACCCTCAATCTCCTGTTCTGTCATCTGAAAATATTTTGGATATTTTTAACGCTTTTTTAGCAATGCCATAATCATAATTCACTTGATTCGCGATTCATGACAGTAACAGTCAGTGAGGTGAATCAAGGGAATCATGAATACTTTAAAATGGATAGCTTTAGTTTGTCAAATATACAAGAGTCCATTGTATCATTACAAAAGACCTAGTGAAATTTCACGGTATTACCTACCATGAGTACCTATCTATAGGAATACAGTTAACAGAACTAACCCCTTTAACACCCTTCTTCAGCTTGTCGTCGATAAAAAGCGAGAGATACTCGGGACTCTTTGTATTCAGATTTAGGAAGTATTCGAAATCGGAGGCGATCATCTGTTTATAATTCTTATCGTTATTAAACGAGTAATGAAGGAAATGATCGAAACGATCTTTTAAATCCAACAAATTCTGGATAAAGAGGACAGCGTTTGTTGTTGATTCGTGTTCCTCTTGAACCATGGCACGTCCTTGCTCTTTGAGAAACTGCGAGACGCAATCGCATACTGTACGCAATCCGTCCGAAACTCTTGAAAATAATTTATACATACAACCAAGATCTTCAGTTTTTTGATTTTTAAGCATGTGAACTACGCCACTGTTTTCCATCTATAAATAATAGAGAAAAAAGAACAACTTAATAGAACATCCTTAGAAGGAACAACAGAGTCACAAATGTTTTGCGACGCGATGCATCGATTAACCTGATGACCGATTAACAAACCTCTACAATAGTTTTCATATGAATTTTAATTAATTCTTCTTCTACAACTTCTACTATTCGTGGTTCAGTAGATTCATCTAAATAATGCTTCGCCCTCTCTGATTCTTCGCAGATTCTAGCCTCAACTTTCTTAATATATACTGATGCACTATTTTCTGCTAAGAATTTCTGAGATTCCATCTAAAATGAATACGATTAGAAATCTGCAATAATAACAAGAAAGGAATTTATGAGACTACGAACAGAAAGTATTCTTACTCTATAAAATTCAGCACTCTGTTGTAAAAAAGGCCTTTCAAAATCTTCTTCGTAAACTTGACGACTGTTAATTCCAAGTAACATTAACATTTGGCAGGCATTTTTTATCGCGATACGATCTACTACTTCTCCCCTTCTTTCTCTTCCTACCATATCTAATAAAGTTTCCCTTAAATGATCTCTAACACACCCATATCTGACCACCTGTAAATAATAAAATAAATAATTGTTCATATTTTAGAGAACTTTCACAGGATTAATTATAAGATTATTAGAAGGTTCTTACAGGATTATTTATTCGTTTCAATGGTTAAACATTACCTGGTCTCTAAATATGATAAGCCCCAAATTATACACATTGTCTACATCATTTTGTTGCACGTATACTCTATCCATATACATTAGAATATCTCTAATCATCACCATTGATGTCTGATGATCGTTCCAAGCTTGATTCAATGTTTGAAGGAAATTATTGTGAAGAGATCTTAGTACATCTTCTCGTACTTTGTTCTCAAGATGATGTGTTACAACTTCTTTCAGACCTGTATATAAACGTTCTCCATACTTATGGAGAACCATGGTATAAGCATTTCGATAAAGTTCTTCAAAACTAAGACCAGAATTGTTTTTCTTTTGAATTTCCTGAATAGCATTTTTCAGTAGCGTCCAGATACTTTCTACATACTTCTCATCCATAGTCGTCTAAAACATACATACAATGTTAATCTTGTTATTACGAACAAGAATAATCAACTTTGGCAAATTATAAGCTTTTTTACTTATATCAACAGCAAGAAAATCATCAGAAGTATTATGTGAATAAAGTGGTTTTATTGTAACAGTACATCTGTAATTACTAAGAAATATATTCTACATGACTGTTAAAACTAAAAGAACTATGGATTACATGTGTGTTCAAGATGTTCACTTCTGTTGTGCTGTTATTATTACCGATATTTTTCTGGAATTGTTGCTTAGCCATGATTCTTTTTTTTTCAACTTTTACATTGTCCCTTTTTTATTCAAGAAAAACATATGGAATTAACTTAAATATTTAAATAAATTTGTTGAATTCACATTGCTTCAATATTTCATAGATTATTATTTAATATCAAGGTCTGGAAACTATCTATATCAAATGTTAAATTCATCATATATATTATAATAAAACAGTGAATAATATTTCATAACAAATTACATATGATCGTGTGGAACATGATTACGTAAAGGTACATACACGTTTCTTATGATAGTTAAGATATTCAATATTCTTTGTAACTAATTTTATAATATCACATTATCATTGAAAGCAGAAGATTTATGAAACAATATTATATTTGTCAATTTAGTAGCCAATCTAAGTTCAAGTACCAAACTTAACTGACAGAATAAATTGAAATTAGTCATGAAGCAAGATAACATTGCAATTTCTATATTTCAATGCTTCTTTTTTATGATACTATAGCAACTGTATCGCATCGCTTACGTATTCAGTAATATGTTTACATTTGGAAACAAAACCTAAAAATGATAATTGTAAATATTACACGAATCGTGTGTCCTGTACGCGTACATTTATACAACAGTCGAATGAAATTCAAACATACAATAGAGGATCTAGCGATACAAACAACACGCAGTCATGGAAATCATTAAAGCAAACTTATTTTCCTAAGACCAATTATCATTTTCAATCTGATACATAATATAAAGGAGAAGGTTATAAAAATGTCTGTATATATGTAAATTGAAGTAGCCAGAAAACATATCTGTAAAAAGAGAGAGAGAGAGAGAAAGAAAGGATGTGAACGAAAGAAAAAAGAATTACAGGTGGGGAGGACGAGGAGGGGGGCGTGAAGGAAACAAAATAGATTTTTCAGTAAAGAGACCAAACGAACGAAACAAGGCTAAAAGGGGATAAACTGAACGCTAAGAGAGCCGAGTACTCACCGGAAAAGCACGTATGCGCATTTTGCTCTCTTTTTTAGCGCTGCCCTTCATCATGTCGAATTTTCTGTCTGAGCTTAGGGATCCCTCTTAAAAGTGTTCGCTCACGGCCAATGCTACAATAACGTTGCACCGTGTGTACATTGACACCAGTAAAACGTAAGGAGCATTCACGTTCTCCTCGCTTCCCAGGCAGACCAGCCGAAGATGATCGGCCACCGCGCGAAAGCACTATTACTCATCCACGTTCACGATGCGCGAGAGAACCGAAAATTGTCTTGTTATCGTGTACATTTAATAAAAAGAAAGAAAAATCACCGACGTCCCGAAAGAGAGGGGGAGAAAATTAGAGGCTTGGAGAAAGAGACAAAGAGAGNNNNATGGAAATTGGGGATAAGTCGTTTAAGGGCTGCAATAGTCCACCGAAAATAGAGGGATCGAACGGGGATCCGACCGAACGGGGAAAAACAAAAAACGGAAAGAAAATGTACGCGCACCTGTCAACAAACCGAATTTTCTGTCACGAATATACCGAGAGAGGGAGAAAAAAAATCGCACTCGATTCCGTGGGATCGTCGAATACCTTTAACGCGATCGCCGATACATGTCCATTGTCTTTCGAGGCATACCGCGATTCAGATTGTGAAAGCTCGAATTTCCATCCTACACAATTTTCCACTCCTCGATGAACGACGATATATGTGTATCGTTCGCAATGCACGCTTGACGCGCATGAATCACAAACTCTCTTACGATTAGAGTACCGTTGCGTACTAGATAGAGGCTTCGTTACCTCCTACGCGAAGAAAGCTCGTCTTCGCCCCTTCCCTTCTGTGTCCGAAGAGGAATAACGTTATTTGTCGTACAAGTTCGACTATTTCCAGCGGGTGATCGTAGATAAACTTAGCTTATCTTTTTCGCTGCGTGCCCCTTTTTATATTTAAAACGGCAGGTAAAGTTCGTACGATTTTGCGTTTTTCTTATTTCGAAAAATCAATCGAACGGGTTAGAAATATTCCGATAACGATACGGGAATACCGAGGATCGGATTTTCGTTACGGTAAATATAAATAATTCAGAGTAATTCACTTTTTTGTTCTTATCTTTCAATTTATGTACTGTTAGACGGCGCTTTGGTAGATTGTGGTCACGCCGTTGCTGCAGAGGGCGCATGTGCGTGCGCAATTTCAATATCACGTTGTGGATCTAGTAATATTTAGTTTCTCCTTAATTATTTTACAAAACACTAATTGAATTTGGAACAGTCCATTGCGACCTCGCAGGCGTTGTAGTAGGTTAAATGTTATCAGTAATGAACATAGAGAAAATAATATTTTGATTATTGTCGAGGAATCTAATGAATATTTATAATATTACTGTAGAAGGATGTAATGAAATTTCTATGTGTATAGACTGATCTCGTTAATGTCACACGTACCTTCTCGTATGATACTATATATAGTTTTATGGATTAATAATTTGTTATATATGTGCAATATAACTTCATGCGTTATCGTATAAATAAGTAAAATATTTTGAGTTTGTTTATCAAATTTAATACGCTTAAACGTCGAATTTTTCGAAACAAAGGTTTTGTCCTTCTTCCTCATATTCTTCTCTAGTGACTAAAAGACTTGAAAACGATGGATCTTTAGATAACGTTTTGCCACCATACCATGCATATGTAATTGGGCTGAAACAGTATAAAAATAAATTAAGAATTCATTGACATTTTCTAATTATAATAAGAAATCAAATATTCACTTCTCGGGTAAATAAACATTTATAGTATACTCTGCAGGAGCAAGGCTTCTCACTTCCTTATAAATTCTATCTCGAAATCCTGTGAATTTTGCATTTCCACCGGTAAGAATGATGTTAGACAAAAGGTGAGGCCATGTTTCTTCGTCGCATGCTTTTAAGCAATCCATAATTGCTTCTGGAATACCCATTTGTCGAATACCCACATCAGAGGGATAAAATAATATTTCTGGTATGGCAAATCTTTCATTGCTTAATCGTAAAGTTTGTTGTTCGTTAAGAGGTTCAGGATTTTTCAGAAAACCACGTCTCAGTGTTGTGTAATCTGGTAAAACGTAATCTTTGATTATGGGGTTATTCTCCAATTTACTTCTAGCTATTTCCATATCCTTGAAAAAGTCTTGAGACACGAAACAAGAATCCTCTTTCACCTGATTTATCACATAAGTTTCATCCATAACGTGTAGTTGTCTATAAGATATTATCTCTTTTAAGTGATTCGTAAGAAGCTTTCCACCCACATCGATGCGTCTGATACCTTCCTTTACCTTAGTATCATTTACATAAGGTACTATATGAGTAAAACTATATCCACTATCAACTACTATGCAGCACTTTGTGTTAGGATTTTCTGCCTTATACTGATAACAGGAGAGAGTGGACGCATTGATTCTCAGTAAACTTTGGCATTCGTATTCCTCGAAGAATATCTCAGTCATAGCTTCTTGAACAGTGGAGAAATTGTACAATGGTTCGGTCACAATTACAGAAAGGTGACTTAAATTTACAGGACACGATTCCTTTGAAAATATATAATCCCACACTGTTTTCTGAACATCCCAATTAACAAGGTAACCCTTTTGAAAGGGCAATATATAAAAGAGTCCAGACGCATCTCGACATTCTTCAATTTGATTTCCAACGAACGGTCTTCGTCGTTCACTTTTCGCTTTCATTATGCAATTAGGAACCAATCTGAAAATAAACATATAAAATTTAATAATGCTTTCCCTAAATGAATCATATATTGAAGAATTATCTTACTTTGGGTTGTCAGATGCTAACCCAACTTTTGCAGTGTTGGCTCCATTATCAAGAACGAAGGTGGAACTGCTCATTTTATAAAACAATTAAATGACATACATAAGTTTATTCGTCCTTTCTTTTCTATATATTTTTAAACGTCGATTAAACGTATTCGATGCTCAATACATTCTTCTCTCTAGAAGCATTTAAAGCGCTTTGGAAAAGCGCCATATTGTTGTTACCGGCGGATCATAAGGTACTGTGCCTCCCTCTTCACTACCAAACTGCATGCGAGTACCCAAATCGATAATATCGACGTGTTTAAACGTGTTTCAGGTTACTAATTATCTAACTGGCAAAGCAAAGCGAGGCCTCTTTTAATCCAATGACTAACTGGATATTTGGTATCCAATAAAAGGGATAACACGTAATTTGTTGAATGACCCGTTGTCTTAAGTATACCAAAACGGACAGAAGTAATATAAAGGGGGCACTCGTATCGTTTCCCTATAAATATAGCATCTATGCGACTCGGTTTCATCCAAACGATCGGCATGGGATCCCACAGTACTTTCAGATAACTCTCTTCGAGCAACATCTTTGTCATGTCCCATCTCGCTCCAGCCAGGAACATCCCGTAAACGTAAACACCATCTGCTGGCGACTCGTCCAGTTTATATGCAGGCAGCACCTATGGAATCACAGAAACGTTAAGCTCTGATATACGACACTTTTAACACGTTGAACGCCGCACGATTTCACAGAGGAAAATACACAGAATGGAAAAAATATATTAAATTATTTGATTGAATTGCATTGTTACTATCTCACGTTCATCCAGCTGAGTGTCACTGTATTATGTTGTATTATTTACAATATAAAAATGTTTTCATAATTGTCGTTTCATTGAGTGAACTATAGCAATTCGATGGCATTCAACGTGTTAAATGTGACGTTTCTAAATGTAACCTTGAAGTCAAAATCAATCCTGTCAATCGGTATCTTATATTTTCTTGCAAAGTTCTGCGTGGTCGCCGTGAGAAAAGCGTGCACATACGAGAATCCCGATATCCAAAATGTCTTTGGTATTCCGTTTACCAGCCACTGCTGAAAGAAACTCAATCGATCCAGAAGATCATTGATGAAACTCGGCAACGGTTTCAAGCTCGGATAGGCGCACGCTTTCTTCCATGACGGTGGAATCCTGGAGCTCAGTATATGCACAGCTAGATCCTGAAACAAGAGATGATAAAAAAATTAACTCTTTTGAATTATCTACCTTACACTCTATTGTTTCAACATTCCATTCTCAGTTTAATATTTTCTATGCCCTTCGCTTTCTCTTATAAATATTTCAGTCTGTCGATAAATATTATCATTACCTCAAGTGAAGGAGTCATCACAATTAGTCCCTTCAGTGCGTTTTCGAGCATGGACAGTGATTGTCGGATTTCGTACAGAAGCCTGTTGTACCTTTCCAGCTCTTGTACGAGCACGGTGTTCATGGACTCCGAGTAAATGATGGGGTACCGTTTCTGGGCTTCCTCGACGTCGAACAGCGCCGGCATTTTATCGTATATGTCCTTCTTCATGCCGAGCAGTATCTCATCCTGCTCAGAGCTGACGCCAGCTGTCACCGCCATTCCCTGGATGAGTAGCATCGACCGGAAGAAAGTGCTCGCCAGCTCGAGATGTCTTGTTATTCCAGCGTTCATGTGGAGGCCGAGTACTTCCGGTGATGGATTTAAGGGGATCGATTGGATCAGTTTGATGTAATCCTCGTACTCGTGTCTGTTGCGTGTAACAGAAACAAATGAAATTAGCACGTCGTTGTATATGAATGATAAACATATTAACCCTCTATGGGCCGAATTCTTGTTCATGACTATAACAAAATGTATGCAGTACAAAGTTAATAAATATAGATTTATAGATTTTAACCATTTGCACTCGGGAGGTGACTGTCACTCACCACTTGATTTCCTACAGTGAAGCTAGAAAATTTGATATTTAATATTATACTTTCTACCATGCATCAATTTGAGAAATGTTGAAATAAAATAGCATTGTTCTCCGATAGACGTCTGATTTCTCTTCGAGTGTCACGAAATATCGTTTTTATCTCATCAGAAAATGTTCAAATGTACCTAGTAAAGAACTTCCCAGTGCAAAGGGTTAAAATATTAAAGATACAGATACCAAAGCTTATCCTGCCACATAACAATGAACAAGAAAAGCAGAAATACTTCTTTGGCAAAGAATATTCAGGACCACCATCCGCGAAAGAGTAATTCGGATCCGTGATCACGTTCTCGTTGTAGAAGTTTTGTAATATCGTGTTCAGACATCTTCGGTCCCTGTCGTCTGTTATCCTGCCTCCGTAATTACACTCCCCGGTTAAATACAGGATTGCTTTGAATGGGATCTCCGTGTACTGTTGCACGTACAACTGCAACTGTTGAGCGGATATTTGGAGATCGGATTCGTTGAAGCCTGTAACGGAGAACCATTTATCATATTGCCTTTATCCTTTAGACTTTAGAGACGCCAAAGTTTGTAATAAAAAATAAACAAAATTTTACAGTGAAGGAAATTTAAACTTCTGAACTTAGAAACTTAGAAACTTAGAAACTTCTAAACTTCTAAACTTCTAAACTTAGAAATTTAGAAACTTAGAAACTTAGGAACTTTTTTTAGGAGCGACCGTACGCTTCAGCGTACCATATTTTATGTTCCATCCCTGTGGCCCATAGTTTCGCCTCTCCTGCACCACAGCGTGGAAGAAGCACAACGCGTACAGCAGCTTCGCGTACGCCCTCTTCTTCTTCGCGTCGAAGAAATCCGGATCTCTGGCTGCCTCGGCTTTGTACGATCTAGAAAAGTGGATCGGTGGATCAGTTTGGTTCGCCTCGAGACGCTTTCGTCGCTCCACCTCATGATGTTGTTCTGCAGTCCGGTGGGAGGTTCGTTGGTCATCTTGACGCCATTTTGGAGGATCGTGATGGGGAAGTGCTCGGACGGGTAGCTCGTCAGCCACAGACGGAAATTCGAATGAGTGTTCGAGGGGTCGAAGTTTTCGCAGATGCTCTCCAAACTGGGCATCCAGGAGGCGGCCAGGTGGCAGTTCTGCAAGCATATCCATTCCCCATCGGCCTGGCCTTGCTGGATCAGCTTCTGCGCGATCGGTCCCTGACCCTGGCCCAGCGAGATCGAGTGGAACCTCTCCAGGAAGTGCACGCTCTCCGCGAACTGCGTGAGCGCCTCCATCGGGTCGGAGCCCGGAGAGAGGATGAAGATCAACGGTATCAGGAAGTTCGAATCCGCGAACGACTTGGCGATGTCGAACGGCGGCGGCACGACGAACTTCAGACCCATTCCGCTTTGGATAAACTGTTGAATCTGCGATGAACCGTAGAAATATTTGATTTGGACATTCTGTTCGAGTCAAGATCAAAGGAGGAGTTGATTTCTTTATAATATAAGCGTTACCCAGGCTCTTTACTTTCCTCACTGTTAGGTACTCGTGAGTACCGCAAGGGTGTTCTGACTTAGAAACTTGGGAACTTGGAAACTTCCAAAGTTCCAAAGTTCCAAAGTTCCAAAGTTCCAAACTTAGAAACTTAGAAACTTGGAAACTTGGAACTTTCCAAACTTCCAAACTTCCAGACTTTCAAACTTCCAAACTTGCAAACTTCCAAACTTCCAAACTTCAAAACTTAGAAATTTGGAAACTTAGAAACTTAGAAACTTAGAAACTTAGAAACTTAGAAACTTAGAAACTTGGAAACTTGGGAACTTCCAAACTTCTAAACTTCTAAACTTAGAAATTTGGAAACTTAGAAACTTAAAAACTTCCAAACTTTTAAACTTAGAAATTTGGAAACTTAGAAACTTGGAAACTTAGAAACGGGAAGGCTATAAGTGGCCTTAACACTCACCATAATCGTCACTTTGTCAGTCCTAATCATTCTCGCCACGATCAGTTTCTGGAAGGGCGTCAGTGTCTCCTCCCAAGGACTCGGCAGCGGCGAGCTTTCCGGGTTCAGCGAGTCGTAGTATCGCTTCCACTCGGCGCCCTTCTGAACGAAGCTTCTCCGGAAGTCGGCGAAGCTTGCCAGTACGTGGACGCGCGAGATCTCGGCCCAGGATTTATCCGGCAGCCAGGAACTCATCGGATTGTCCGGGACCGAGGCCAACGCAACGCCGCCGGATAAGAAGAACATCAGCTCCTCTTTGGTGATCGTGCTCGCCGTCACGAGGATCGTCGCGTACAGCATGAACGAGTACAAAAGCTGGAACAATCGGAGTTACCGATTACCGCTACCAATATGTCATATATTATACCCAATTGTATTACTAATTATTATTCCAAACTGTTAGAGTTAAATTATGTGTATCATATCTTTAAGAAAAATTATAATTTAACCAACAAAAACATCATTCCAATGTACTCGCATAGAGAACAGCATTGTTCGTACAGAACTCTGCCGAACAGAGAAACAGCCCCGCGCAAAATTCAGCCGTGCCCAAGAGGTTAACGTTCCAAGCGTACACAAAGAAACTTTCTCTTCACCTTGTCCTTCTCGAAGAGAGATCTGCAGACGTTGCGGTACAGATTGTACGTGAAGGTTTCCCGCAGGAACATGAGTCGCCGCTCGAGGACCTTGCTCTTGTTCGCGGCGTCGATGGAGCTGACGTACAGGTTGATGAACCAGGTCAGCGAGTATTGGTACATGGGATCGATGTTCGGCAGATCGGTGATAGTGTAGTAGAGCGCGGAGCCGTGCCTCGCGATCGGCTTGTAGTTCTGCCGGAACCCCTCGATCTGTATCTCGGTCTTCCTCGCGGTGGACTGCTTTTTCAGGATGTCGGTCGAGAGGATCTTCGAGGAGTCCAGGATCTCGATCGCCTCCTCGTCCTCCAGGATCGCCGCGCCGGAGTCTGCCAGCGTTTTCAGAATGTTGTCCTCCACTTGCTTCAGGGCTCGCCTGTTCGCCGCGCTCTGCACGATCAGGTACTCCCGTTTCTCCTGCAGATCCAGCCTCTCCTTCGCCACCACGATGCCCAGCAGTTGGTCCTCGAGGCCGTCCATCGTCAACGCGAAGTTGATCAACGTCACCTTGTTGAACACCTCTGGCAGATAGTGTGGATTCCGCAGCTTGGTCGTCAGGTAGAACCTGAAGCGCGGACTGTACTCGATCACTCGCTCGCCGAGGTTGATGAACCACGCGTTCCCCATCTTGTAGACGGACCTCGTCAGCACGGGGTCGAGAGCCGGCGCGAGTTCCTCCGGCACGTTCTCGACCAGCACCGGTTTCCCTGTAGGAAAGCGTCGCATTGTATAACGGTTTCACCGAGCGAATGTGTAGGAAGTTACACGGTTAACACGTTGAGTGCTACGTCAGTCCCTGGGGACTGACAGTAGACTTTTCGTTTGGGCGGCGTGGATTCTAGGGACTGACAGCGAACTTCTCGTTTGGTCGACGTCGGTGCATGAGACCAGCATTTTAAAGGGTTAAAGTATTAATGACAATTAAAAAATTTATGGTAAAATTTAGTGTACTCCCGTGGCTTTTCTGAAATTTACTTTAAACCTCGCCCTTGATTCATTACAATCCCACAGATGTAAATATGATAAATAAAAGTCGCACGCACCGTACTCGAGAGCCTTCTCTATGATACTTATGTAACCCGCGTCCGTCAGCTTAACGATCTCCAGCTCGTTCTGCCTCTCCATGTTGCGGATCCACTTGTTCGCCTGACTCTGAGGGTCCACGAACAGGCTCCACCTCTTCGAGTTGTCCATGATGATCGCGTTTTCCACGGAGAACGAGTCCCGCGGCAGGCCGAATATGTTCCAGGAGTTGATCTTGATCTCGGTGCCGAGGGTGGCGACGAAATCGTAGCTGTCCGTGCACGGTATCGCCAAGGCTTTCACGTAGTCGAACCATTTCTCTAGACTCTCGACGCGATAGCTGCTCGTGTACGGCCCCATGTACGCGATCATGCCGCACGAGACCAAAATGTCGCCGGGTAACGTGTCGTACGACCTTTGGAGGTTCTCGGCGGAAGCCATCCAACGGCTCTTCTCGCCGCCCAGACCGTTGATCAGCTTCTCCGCTCGGATCAGCTTATTCCGGCACAGAGTCACCTGCGCGAATTCGACCGAAAATGAATTCTCATTGAAAAACGAAGAACTTTTTAAAAATTTATTGTACAGTCAAAGATAGGTATTTTAATATTATGTGTACCGCGGTTATTTAATTTTAATCGATTGTAAAAATGTGGGTCGAACACGCCTCTCCGTTCCGCCTGAACGGAAAGTCTTAAAAAAATGATCCGGCACGGAACGTGTTAATTATCGAGCCGTCCTCTCTCGACTCGCGGCCAATCGTCTCGCTGATTACCTCGTTCTCGAGTTCTATTTTCTTCGCGACGGTTACTTGCAGCTTCTCGTGAAGCACGGCCAGCTTCTCTGTCAGCTCGGCGAGTCTGGCGCGTCTCTCGTTCAGAAACGCGATGGTGCTCTCGTATTCTTGTTCCGCGGCCTCCAGTTTCGCCCTCTTCGGCGCGACCACTCTCGCCACGTCGTTGTACAGAACCACCGCTCTCACCCACTTGCAGAGCCCCTCGGCAGCGGACGACGCTCTCGCTACCACTTTCGGCTCGAAATTTTTGTCCGTTAGATACGTCGTTTTGATCTCCTGAAAAACGGACATGGTTCCTTGGTTTATCCTTTGAGAAGATAGCGGTTTCGATGCTTTCACGGCCTGGAGTGTTACATTCGTTTCTGGTTTTAAAATTATTTTAATTGTTCAGCTGATCAAAATATCACGGCGCTCGTAACGCGTCTTTCCAGCGCAAGCGGCTAACCAGCGTAGCGCGTCCAGACGTCCCGACAAGATGGCCGAGCCCGACATCTGCGTAGCCCCACGCGAGCCACGCCCACTTCGTGTGCGAGAAGATGGCGGAGCGCGGCTGGTCGCTGGAGGTTTCGGTGGTTCCGATTTGTTCAGCTGACCGATTAAAATAATCGGTGACCATCGATCCGGAACATGAACAGGGTATTTAAAGAGACTCTTCCTCGGCACACATCAATGTCAGTGTGCCTTTGAGAAACGTTGGGAAAGAATTCCTAGATTTTGAGAAGATGTTGGCGATGGAGTTGCAATGCTCAAAAGTGGAAAGGAGCAAAGGGAGTTGGCTGTACAATCTCAATTTGCAGCTAGGCCAGTAACAAAGGCGTGTCGAAACTAATTCGTTCGTTATTATTGGGCAGAGTACTGCGAGTAGACTCCCCTCGTCTTTCTTCACTTTTGAGCCACAAGTTCTGTAGCACTGTAGACGTCGACAGAAATTAAGGAAAATTAGACGAGTTAGAAAGACCCAACAAAGTACCTGTATTATTCGCGGCGAGATATTGTCCTTGTCGTACTGGCGCAGCGTCTCCAAGAATCGCATGTCCCCGAGCAGACGTTTGCTAGGTCCCCAATAGTCCATCAGCTTTCTGCCTGTAGCCGGATCCTCGATCTTGGCAGGTGATATGTCCAACATGACGCAGACAGCGGCCATCACTAGCTTCACCCCGGCGGGAGGACTCCTCATCGTCCTGACGACCGTGATGTCGGCCGGTTTCAGAGTGTTCAAGGCCGCTTCAATGGCGAGACAAAGGGAATTGTAAGGCGGCGGAGGAACCTCGATAAGAGCACGCACCGATCGCTTCTTCCAGCGCCGGCAGCGCTTCCGCCAGGTCTGCCTCACACTCCGTCTTCAGCTTCATCGAGACTTCCGCCTGCTCGTTCGCCATGTTCTCGTCCCTCTTCACCAGAATCCTGGCCTTCTCGACGCTGACGTTCTCGGTTTCGATCTTCTTCATCGTCGCGACCGTCTCGTTCGCGGACGCCTCCAGCTGCGGTTGCAGCGCCGACAGCGTCACCCTCATCTTGTCGATTTGCTCGGCCGCGTACTGCAGCTTGTCCAGTCCGTTCAGGTACCGATCTCTGTTGCGAGAGGACCGCGAGCAGGTGACTCTCGAATGGGAACACTGAATCGACGTACCTGCCGAGAGTGAGCTCGCGTTGCTTCTCTCCGATTAGCTCGGCGTAAGTGCGTATCAGGTCCAGGAAGCTTGCGGTCGTGATGTAAGTGCGTCTGCCGGTTGCGTTATAGAACTGCGCGCTGACTTGCTTCGCGCAGACGTGGAAGAATTTACAAGCCAGCACGACGTTCACCTTCACCTGCTCCTCGACGTTGATCTCGTGGGTGCTGGTGAGCGCGACCTGTTCCAGGGCGTCGTCCGGCCACACGTCGAACCAGTCGATCGTGCAGCAGTTCACCAGGCTCGGGTACAGCCGCAGCCTGGTTCTGAAGGTGTCGCCGATCGGGCTGAAGCACAGCATCAGGTGCAGCTTCTCCTTGCAGCGGTTCACGAAGAACGCCAGCACCGCCAGCACCGACACGTCTAGGTTCCGGTTGCCGCCCTGCGCGGCCAGCCGCGTCGCCTCGATGATCTCCTGCCTCTCCTCGACGGTGAAGATGTTCGGCACCTCGCCGGAGTTCAGCAGACTGTCGATGTCGTTCAGGAAGATCTCCTCCTTGATCTGGCCCTCGGTCAGCAGGAACACGTGGTCCTTCCCGGCCGCGCCGCAGTTCATCAGCACCTGCAGAGACGTAAGATCAACGGATGGTAAACGTTTCAGAGGTTTCAGAGCTAAACGAATACGAGCGAAGGACGAACCTTCTTGATATCGTCCCTCCACTCCTGCACGCCGTACGCGCCGCCGATTTCCGGTTGGAACAGCCCGTGGCCGATCATGGCGGCGGCCAACCTGGTCAACGACTGTCTGCCGGATCCGCCGACGCCGACCATCAGCAGGCTGCCGCAGGGGATCACCAGGATGCGGCATATCCGCGCGAGATGTTCCAGCGCGTAGCGGAACAGGATGATGTTCATCTTGTGCCTGTGCGTGAGATTGTAGTCCTCGAGGCAGGACTCGGCCACCTCGAGGTACTCGTCCATGGACCGGACCTCCTGGTACCGGCGGTCCTCTCCCGGCGGCGCGTCTATATCCATGAAGCTGCCGAATAGTAAGCTACGCAGACTCCGCTCCGTCAGCTGGTCCTCGAACCTCGGCAAGTGGCCGAACACCGCGTCGAACTGCTCCCTGAGTTTGCTGGCGACCGCCTCCTTGATCCTGAGGAACAGCCAGCGCCGGTCGGCGTCGTCCACCAGCCGGTCGCCGAACACCCGGAGCACCTCGTGCACCCAGAGCCGCGTGAACACCGACTTGGCGTCGACGGACTCCTCCCTGATCATCGCGCAGCCGACGATCACGCGCGAGAAGTCGCGCAGGTTGAACAGGTAGTGGGACTTGGCGGGCGTCGGTCGCAGCTCGTCGCGAGCGTTCAGGAATATCGTCATGGTCGCGTGCACGACCTCGAGGATCCAGGGCATCACGCCGGCGGTGAAGCCGTTCCGCTGCAGCCCGATGAACGCGATGTTCGTGAAGATCCGGGCGACGGTGTCCTCCGTGAAGTCGCTGATGTCGAAGAGGTTGAAGTGCCTGAGGAACCTGCGGTACAGCTCCTGCCTGCTGCCCCCGGGCGGCGCCATCGCGCACACGAACATCGTGTCGTGGACGTGGATCGTCTCCGGTTGCTTCAGGTCGAACCAGACCCGGTGGTCGAAGAACTGCCGGAGCAGCTCGATCGGCGGCTGCGCGCCGTACGCCTCCTTCGCCGGCATGTTCACGTCGTCCACGAAGACCACGCACCGCGTTCCGGGCAACGGGCCGTACTGGTTCCTCCGTTTCTTGTACAGCTTCGACACGACCAGCTCCTGGGTCTGCGCGGCGGTCGTGTGCGGCGTGAACGTGACGAAGTTCGCGAGGTACTCGGCCTCGCTCAGCTTATTCATCAGCAGGTCCTTCACGTAGACGCTCTTCCCGGTGCCGGTCTCGCCGTACAAGAGGAACCGCTTGCGGCGACGCACGTGCTTCTCGAACAGGGTCTGATACTTGACGGTGTCGCTGGTCGGGATGATCAACTGCACGATGCTGCCGGTCTGCGGGAACTCCTCTTGCCGCGCGACGTCCGCGTACCGCCGCCACGCGCCCCTGCCGCGGAACGTGTAGAAGCAGTCGTGGATCGTGTCGTCCACCGGGAACGAGATCAAGCTCTCGGCCAGGAACTCGGGCAGCGGGTGCTCGGGCAGCGCGCCTTTCCACATGCTCGTGTAGTACGCGTTGAACCTGTCGCGGGAGTCGTAGTCCAGCGTGCCCGCGGCGCCCCACACCACGGACGACGCCATCGCCGCTTGCAGCCAGAACAGCGTGAACTGGTCGAACGTCTTCGGGCTCTGCTCCACCGCGTCCTCCATGAACATCTCGAATAACACCGTCGTGGTGATCACCCGATGGATCTGACCGGCGGTGATCGTCGCGCGGCATTTCTTCCGGATGAACTCCAGACAGGGGTCGATCTGCCACTCGAACAGCTCGTCGATGTTGCTCGAGTGATCGGCCGCCCACTCCGGGTTCAGCCGGTGCAGCCAGGACCGGGCGAAGGGTCTCCAGCCGAGGACGCGGGGCTCGAAGTAGATCATCCCGCAGCGCGACACCGTGGCCGGCGAGGCGTGCAGCAGGTCCATCGCCTCGAAGATCATCGACATGGTGCCCGACATCTGCATGATCTCGCCGGAGGTCAGGCAGAGCTTCTTGTTGTCGTCGAGGACGGTGTTCAGGTTCTCGATCCACACGGCGTCCACCGGCCCGTCGAAGACGATCCACTTCCTGTCGGGCGTGTCCTCGGCGCAGTACGCGCGGAACGTGACGGCGCAGACGCCGTCGGTCCACTCGGAGGAGACCGGGTCGAAGAACCCGTACAACTGGCCCAGCGTGATCGACTTCGGGTTGATCGTCTGGTACTTGGTCACGGCGCCGTTCTCGTCGCCGCGACGGTACATCAATGTCAGAGCGTCCGCCAGCGTGCGGAGGACGCTGGTCTTCCCGCCGAACGGCTCGCCGACCAGCATGAACCCGTGGCGCACGATCATCATCTCGTACGTCTGTATGATCTTCAGCAGGAAGCCGTCGACCGGCTGCAGCCTGCGCGCGCCGGCTGCCTCGCGGACGGCGCTCAGCAGCGCGCCGTAGCTCGGCGAGGGCAGCTCCAGCCCGGGGAACAGGTCCGAGACGATGCCTTGGAACAGCGGCACGTCGTGGGCCAGGAACTTCGGCAGGTTCACGTCGATCACGGACCTGAGCAGCACCACCGACTCGTCCTCGTCCGGCAGTTGCAGCTTGATGTTCTGCGCCGCGGTCAGCACCGTCTTCACCGCGCGCATGCCGTAGTCGTAGTGCGACTGGCTGGACAGCTGCTCCGAGCAGAGCTTGTACGTGGTCACGATCTTCGTGGAGAGCGCCCGAGCGGTGGTGAACCCGGACGAGTACAGGAATATCTCGGCGATCATCGCGTAGTCGGGCACCATCATCGCGACGGTTCTGAAGAGGACCTTCAGGTTGTCCGGCAGCTCCGAGCGACCCGCGTAACCCGGGTTCATCGTGATGCACACGTAGACGGCGGGGTTCAAGGTCAACTCCGTCCCCTCGAACACGAACGTCTGCAGCTTGCCGCGCACCGCCTGCACGATGCAGAGGATCTGTTGGGCGACCACGGATAGCACCTCCAGGTCGATGCGATTGAACTCGTCGAAGCAGGACCACGCTCCGCACGAGGCCAGGCCTTTGAAGAACTTCCCCATGTTCTTGTAGTCGAGGCCCTCGGAACAGTTGAACACCACGCACTGCACTGCCAACGCTCTGCTCAGGTCCTTCGTCGTTTCCGTTTTACCGGTGCCCGCCGGTCCTTCCGGCGCGCCGTTCAGGTGCAGGGAGTACGCGCCGATCAGCGTACGGTAACACCTGGGAACGAGCGTGATGGTGTCGTAGTATCTAGAATTCTTAGCGTAGGTTAAGGTATTTTTAGGAGGAGTGAACGTAAGAATGAGTGTGTATCCGAGTGTTTATGATGAGTGCGAGTGAGAAGAATGCTTGTGGGGAGAGAATGATGTCTGGGAGAGAATGTCTGTAAGAGAGTTGCGGAAGCAAGAGTCGTGTGTTGGCCTCCGTGGCATTGAGTTGTATTTTTTACGTGTTGTCCGTGTTGTTTCCATATTTTATTAAATACGTATATTTATTCCTAGTTTTCGATTACTCAAGATCCACCCTTTCATTATTTGTAATATAGTAACCACTATAGTATTTTCAAGGTCGCTCGAACTTGTTCGCGTACCTGTCCGTCAGCGGCGTAATGACCAGCCGAGGTGTGTTCCCGATGTACTCGTACGCGTAGGATACGGTTGTGTATATGATTCTGACGAACACGTCGTCCTCCCAGTAGTAACGCAACTGCGCCAGCCACTCGAAGTCCGTCTCGTCCGTGATCCTCTTGTCGATCAGGGACTTCACGACGTCCATCGCGTGGACGTCGAGCGTGATCAGAGCGTTTATCGTCGTTCGATTCTGTCTCGACAATTTACCTGAGGAATGGCAACTCGTTCAACGACGGCAAGAAAGTTTCTCTATTAATCTAACTGTAACACTAATCTAATTCTACCACTAATCTAACTCTAACACTAATCTCTACCACTAATCTAACAGTAACACTAATCTAAGACCCCTACCCCTGATCAAATCGACCATCTCAAAAATCTGCTTCCTCAGCTTCTCATACAGAGTTTCCGTTGTCGAGCGGATGCGAGTCATCAGACTGTTCTGAACCTCCGTGCTCCAATAGATCTGAGCGACGCACAACACGACCATACCCGGCCAGATGAGCACCCACGTGGCTCGTTGGTTCACCTCGTAATCTCGATAGCTCATCAGGATCTCGTGCCTCACGGATTTCACCATTTGTTCTTCGACCTACGTTGAACATACCAAGAATCATCTCCACGCTAATCATCGTCGACTGAGAGGAATATATCTATATACTTGAACCAGCCACCTCTCCACGCAGCCTCTCGCCGCCGCTGTTGAAATCTTCTCCTGCATCGTCACCTCCTCGTTGTCCTCGCTGAACATCGAATATATCTCCAGCTGGTGATCGAATCTAAGAGACACTCTCTTTTAGAAGTGTAGGACCGTTCAAAATTAGCGCGACTGAGTGAGTGTATGGCCGAGCGAATCAGGTGAGTGTGGATGCGAGAGAGAGAGAGAGAGAGAGAGACGCAAGTTAATAAAAGTTATTTAACAAATTGAAGAAAAGAGTTGTAAAGACCTTAATGCAACAGAAGGGACTACATTTACAGTCTCGCCAAATCTTCTCACCCCAACTTGTTTATTCCCTCGAAGCATTTCCGAAGGTGAGGCTGGACGCGCAGGGGCTCCTTTGTCTCCGACAGTATCTCGAGCATGTCCTCGTTGCTCAGAAAGAAGAATCGCGGAAAGTAGAGCCTCTTCTTCTCCAGGTAGTTCAGAACACCGTCGTTCACCTTCTCCATCGACGCGTTCGCCTCCCGCATAATCTCTAAAAGACCCACCTACGCAGAAACTCACGCGTGTCTGTCGTGCCGGTGATTTCTACGCTTACGGAGCCCGCTGTCTCTCGAACTCGGGGTTCCTTCGCGACGCCGTTCATCGCGCTGCGAAATATCCGGTCGACTTGACTGAACAGCACTTCCTCCTCCGGCAGCTGTGCTACGATGTCCTTGCTCGAGAAGATCGGCAACAGGTACATCCACTGTACTTGTACCTAATACGAGCGAATGAACTCTCGGTCAATCACCTGTCGCTTGTTTATCTTTCGAATGACCGACAGCTGATCGGCAGCCCTAACGACAGCTAGCGTTGGTGTTCCTTTTATTCGTTTCTAACTGCCGTTTTGACTTTAACTGTGTATCTTCCTACACTACAATAGGAACAACCGAAGGTCTTGTACCTTGGTCCATTCGTCGATGGTCGACTGTATCCGGAGCAGCAATTGGTAGAAGTTCTTCACTTCCTCCTCGATGAGCTTGACGAACGCGGAGCCTCGCATGGCTTGGACTTTGACGATGTGCTCCTCCAGAATCGCTTGGATGTCGTCCAGCTGCGCTAGAATGTTCACTCCGGTGTCTTTGTACGACACGCTGGTGAACACAATGTCGTCCCATTCCTTCATCATCTTCGTCAACGACTCCTCGAGCATCAGTTCCTTCGTCGCGCTCGTACTTATCATTTCGTATCTGCGCAGAGAATAGATTCCAGTAGCGTCGTTAGCTTTTCGTGGGCAGAAATCTTCTTACTTCTCCAGGTCGTCCAGGAAGTTCATGTTTATAATTTTCCGGAAGGTTGTCCCGGCGTCAGGGGTGACGTCGAACCCGGCTATCGTCGACATGTCGTCCCAGTGAATCTGCTTCAGGGCGGGGTTGCGGAACACCACTAGGAGCGGCAGGCATTGCTGTGTTTGAATATTGGAAACGAGTAAGACACCGGTTTTTGAGGGGAATTTCTATGCGTGGAGATTCACCTTGAACCATTTGATGTCCTCGATCAGTTGGTGGCAAAGTTTTAGAGGCGCCGGTTGCTGATAGGGGTCCGGATCGTCTGGCGAGCCTATGAAGCTGATGCATGCATTTTTATTATACGTCTCTGTGAACCCTCGTGAACTTTTAACCCTTTCGATACAAGGGTGACTATAGTCACCGGTTACAAAAGTGGAGCCAAAAATTAAGACAATGTACGATAACAAAAGCATCTCCATGGGAAAGTGATAAACACATTGTTATGAACGCAAATCATTTTGCTTTTAAAAACAGTGTCACCATGGCGTTGAGACAAAGGAGCCTCCAACGCTGAAGACCGGGGGTCACCGGTGACCCAACCAAATCGAATTACTGTGGTTCATTCAATTAAACGATGATTATTTGAAAAGATTTGTGTATTGTACACAATGCTACTTAACGCGATGCCATTTTTTCCATTTTCCACACGAGGAACTTCGCAGTGAGACCCACAGTAGCGAAAGGGTTAACCTTTGCACTCGAAAGGTGACTCTCAGTCACCACCTTGATTTGATACAGCAAAATTATGAAGTTGAATATTTACTATTTTAAATTAAACTTTGTATTGCGATGTGAAATATTGAAATAAAATAGCTTCGCTGCTTAATTTATCTGTGAATTATCGTTAAATCAGTTTCAAACAATGTCGTCTTTATCTCATCGGACAATGTTCAAATATTTCTACCGAAAAACTTCGGAGTGCAAAGGGTTAAATGTAGTTCAACGCTGCATTCCGTACCCATACGGATAGCTAGTCGCGAGCTCCATTTTGATCCTCGTCCTGTAATGTTTACCGATCTTCGTGAACTCCCCGAAGTACTCGGTTGTCTTGTTCTCGATGTCGTTCGAGTTCAAGTACTCGAACGGCCCGTCCAGCCAGACGTCCCGATGCCGTCGCCACTGATAACCGCGATAAATTAAATCGTAATACGGCATTATGATCTCCTTGAGCTCTTTGATCCGCGGATAATGGGAGAGCGGATATTTAAACAACGCCTCCTCGTCGTTGATACATTTAACCCTCTCGTTCATGCGTTCCAAGTCGCGCGCGAACTTCCGCATGTACTCGATGTACTCCTGTATGCGATCTGCGTCGTCCATGTCATTCAGTATCTCCAACCTGCAAGCAACCAGCTGATGATACAAAGAAAATAGGAGACCAAAGATAACAGTGACTTGGATAGATGATGATTGCAATTTAACTGATTACTTCATTTTATTCACCACTTCCGGTGCAAAATGAAATAAATCAGCAAGATGCCAATATACTGATATGTGACTTCAAAGTTACATGAGCCTACAGAGGGTTAACCTAGGAAAAGTGTCTTCGACGTCCTTATTCAATATCTCCACTCTACTTTGAAGCTTCTCCTCCAGCTCGAACTTCGCTTGCTCGTAGAGAGCGCTGTTCTGCTCGAATATCGGTCGGATCCGCTTTAACCAGTGTATGGTGGTGTTGTTCAGTTCCATGTGATCTTTGGACAACGTGGTCATCTCGATGAGTGTCGCCATCATACGCAACGACAGAGTAATCTTCTCCTCCAGCGACCTCATCGTTGTCGACGCAGCCGTTAGCATGTAGTCACCTGAGAATTTAAGTCGATTATATATTTAGTTTAATATCTGATTTGATGTTAGATCAGATTTTCATGTGTAAAATGTTCACCTAGCTCCAATAGCTGCTTGGTAGTGTTCGGCACATTCAGTGCTCGCTCCCTTATAGCCTCGAATGTGTTGCATATATCAAGGTTGAAGAACCAATGCCTGTTCACCAGCTCCTCAATGATGGATTGTCTCACGTTTCTCGTGTATTCGAGGAGACCTGCCTTCGCTGCGACTTGATCGATTATCCCAATCGAGAAGTACTCGTAGTCCGGCTGAAACAATTTCTCACTGTAGAACCAACGCGAAATTCGAACTTTTAAAATTAACTTTTCGAGTAACGGTTTTAAGTCACGGTTGCAATCCTTTGAATTCGAGAGGCGAAACTCATTTGCCATTTCATTCGATACATCGAAATTGAGCACTGAAATTCAATATTCGATTTTGTGCTAGGTAGCAGCACGTGAACCTTGGAAATAAATTAGTTCCAATCCTTAATTTATGTAAGATTTTCCTTTACGTTACTTGCTAACAATTATCAATATTTCAACAGAGGAATAATGAATATTTATAACGAAAAATATTGTCGAATGCAAAGCGTTAATTCACGGTTGCAAGTGGTACAGCAAATCGTTGTGAACATGTACGAACGAAAAAAAAATATTATCAGGAACCATCAATGATCTGGTCGAAACCTTCGACTTTCTCGATTGAAACTTTTGAAACGAACGATTCGAGTAACGATTTTAAATCGCGATTGCAAGTGGTACACGAAATGGTGAACATGTACAAACCAAAAGAAAATATCAAGAATCATCAACGATGATTTACCATGCCGTGAATTTCTCGAATGAACTGGTTGAAACCTTCGACCTTCTGGACGCACTCTTGAAAACTTTGCCCCGAACGAACATAGTCGACGATCTCTCGTTGCGTTTCCGAATCGAAGACAACCCGGAACCGTCCCCGCAGATTCTCGACGTAATCGATCAACGGTCGATAAGTGTCGTTCAAAATCACCGCGAGCCGTTTGCGAGCCTCCTCCAAGTACCATTCCGGTAGAATGACTTTGACGTGTTCGCGAGTGGTCTTCGCGTTGACCCAGGAGTCCAGCGACGGCAGTTGCTGGCCGACGTGACGGATTTGATCGATAACGTAATGGAACGAGAAACAAATTTCCTGAATGGTCGGGCTAAGGAACAACTCGTTGGCCTCGCATTTTAGTCGCAGCTGGAAAGTAGAAAATATCATAATTTTCGATTAATCGCATCGGTCACGTGACAGTTCGATGTATCGTTACAAAAGGGATGATCGGTAATGTAGAGTACGACAGTAAAATTTTGTGTACGTGACCCTCGATTTACGCGAACTTTTTTCACCCTCGTTTTTACTCGGTAAATCACTAAAATTTACTCGGTTAATTAATTAAATACTATTTACGCGGTAGTTTTTAGATCTGAATTTTGTTCGTTTTTATTGAGTCTAATTAGAAAACCTCGGTCGATAACTTGTAAATGAAGTTTGTCAGCGAGTGAGATTGGTAATAGCATGAGGCGTACTTTCAACAATGGCACAGAGCTCCTGTTGCTCAACATCTCGAGCAGATGTTCGACGGTTTTTATCATGCGTGTGACCACTTGAAGACCGAGTAAATGATTCGCGCAGTTGAGAAAATCGGCGAGGGCGTGCGAGGGTACGTCGTGAAGGTAGCGCGGTTGGGAAATCAGCCGCACGATGTCGCCGTAGTAGGTGCCAGTGATGGCGAGCGCGCCTTTTTTCGTATCCGCTTCCACCAAGTCCAGGAACCTAGATTAGATCGTACGGTGTTCGAGTTAGTTCGACTAGTAACCTATGTATAATGATATAAGTTGACCTCACAATATGACCGCACAATTCAGTTTTCTGAAAATTAGCCGGTACACAATGTGTTAACGTTCTGTCGCGTGCTGCTTCCACTGATTGACCGTTAAATCATTCGCGAGTGCAGAACGTCTCAGAAATGAAGACGTCTAATTTTCCGTTTTTGCGTACGAGTATTAGAATCGAGTGCTAAACGAATCAATAAATTAACCCCTTGCCATACAGTGATAAGTGAGACTCGTGATAAAGATTTTTAGATTGAACAAAAATCAGTGTCATTCGTTGCAACGGATAGAAAAAACTATTTTGCTATTAAATTTCATTGAACACGTTGACTGCCGCGAAAAACAGCGTTTTATGTATCACTTATCCTTTCTACAGCAAAGATAAAAATTATTAATTCTGATATGACAATTTTTATATTACCATATCATCTAGTTATTTACCTTACGGAAAATTTGTATTCGAAATGAATTATCTCCCAAGTAATTATTTTCTTGTAATTTGAAAGCTCCGGTCATCAGTGACCGTGGCAGTCAAAGTGTTGAACAATTTTCCTACGTTCCTTGGAAATCATCAATAGTAAAATGGGGTTAAATAAAATTAAATAAAATTAAAAGAATACAGAAAATAGAAATAAGAATACAGAAATATACAACGAAGTGCTACCAAAGTATTCAAGCCACAGAGGACGATTTTGAAAGTCTACCTGTTGAAATCGAGGTACTCCAGTTCCCGATAACGGTTGAAATTGCATATCCACTCCGGCATCAGGCAATGACCTCTAGCAACGATGTTCCTGAGCAGCTTATGCGGTAAGTAGAATCTCCTCATTATCGTGCAACGATTCCTCAAATACTTCGGATACAGATTCGTTCTACCAGCTAATTTGTACGGCGGGATCGGCACCAATTGCTCGTTGCACGGTTCCTGGCATTCCACGGCGATCACGCGTTTCACCGCCTGCTCGTGCATCGACCGTTGGTAACGCGTCTTCGTTTCGTTCAGTTGATCCTCGAAGATGCTCGCGTATTTCAACCGTAACCGATCCGTCACCAAGTTTCGAATGTTGTCCTCCCATTCCTGAAATATCGAGCAATTATCCAGTCGAATTTCGATTGTGTTCAACTGTACATAAAATTTCGAATTGCCTACTGGAGCTAGGCTGTTCGCGGGCAATCTATCCGCGAACTCCTTCATCTTCGCAAAGTAGCAACCTTCAGGTTGCTCCAGCAAGCATTCGTGATCGGTTCGACACTCTCTCGGATGTCTTTCGTGGTAGATTTTGGACTTCCTGATTTCCGATGCTATCGCGTCGTGCATTTTCTCTCTGTCAATCTTAAAAATGAATATAATTGAATATAAATGAATATAAGTGAATGTAAATGAATAACATTCACCGATGAAAATACCTTTTCCAGTCTAAACGTGTGTTCAGGTAATTTCCTCGCCTTCGCGAAGGATTCTGAGTCCTCGTTTTCCATTTTCAATCTTTTCAAGCGAATCTATTACGTCTCGGACGATAGTTTCATCGAGCAAAGAAATCGAAAGATCGAATTGAACATTGCCGGCATTGACGTTTGACCGGTAACAAAAAATCCTAGTGCCTTGTTCAATGTGTCACGATTATTTTATTTAATTTTTTATTGCATTTGCAGGTATTCGGTTCTAGGACGGCGATGATAAAGTTGATGAATGCATTCAATTGATAATAATTAATACTCCAGGTTGTTTTGTAATCTATCAGTAACTGCAACTAATTTTTATAGTATTCCTAGCGAAAATTAGAAATGCAACACTTCTTCATCAAAATTTGGATGCGCGGAGAATCTAATAATTTTAGGGTAGTTTCTTTAAAATTCATTTTAAATATTTAATATTATAACTGGTGCAATATTGGAGCTTACAGAGTTCAAAGGGTTAATATAATGAAACTAATTAATTGATTCAACCCTCTTTACTTACCGTTCACGGTAAGGGATGGCGTTGGAAATAAACAAAGAAATCATGGGTTCATCGTGAAGGAAGTCCAATTTACTAATAAAGAACAGCACGACCTAAGATTATAGGTACACTACGGATTCCACGCGTTTCTAACGCAACAGTATAAAATTCAGCAAAATAGAAAAATCAAAGTATGGTTCAATGATGTTTTTATTTTATACGGAGCCTGGCAGGACCCTTCGTTTGATTCAGTTTTCTGTCAACTGGTCTGTAGAAATTTATATTTGCGTAAACATTCATAGTCTAATTAATTGTTGAGGAACAGAAGAAAAACGGAAAAAAAATTTGATAGAAGCGAACGAGTCGTAGAAATACAATGGAAGTATAAAGCGTAGCGACATTATATAATTATAATAGTAATAATAATAATAGTAGTAGTAGTAGTAGTAGTAATAATGATAATAATAATAATAATTTCAAATCGTTAGAAATCGTACGCTCGCCGTGTTCAGTCCGATCAGTTCTCGACGATGGTGCTTCCCGTAATCGTGCGTTAGTTGACTAGAACTTCGAATATCATGTCTTTACGGCTTCTACTATTCAACGTTCTCGTCGATTCTGATGCGATTAGCGATAAGAGAAAATCCTGAGATTAATCTGATGCCTGACATCCCGATGTGTATGTTTCAGTTACGTTTCAATGATGTACATAATATATACATATATATATATATATATATATATAATTTTTTTTTTCTGTATATATATATATATATATATATATGTACATATTTTTTGTTGGCTATACA